CCAAAGCTATTACTGCCCAGCCTTAACAACACCCTGTGTGAGTGAGTGTGTGAGGAAGCAGAGCAGCAGTGAGTCAGACACCATCGGGTGGGTGTCTGGGTGAATGAGTGCATCCATGTAGGATGGTGGCGAGAGAAAAGAGACTGTGGAGCACAGACGGGAGGTGCACTGAAATAACCTGACAGCAACAAAGGCTGCTGCACACAACTAGCAAGACCAATTTAGTCCCGCAATGACGACTCTTCTCCTGCTGCTGTCTCTTTGGCTGCGAACACAAACATTTTTGAAAAGATATAATTGCACGAAGTGTACAACTGCTCCGTTTCAGACGGATCGATAAACGCTCACACACAAGAGCACGTACATGCACACACACACACACATAAGCTCCGCACGCTCGGCTGACCACTCCTCTCACTCTGACACACTTAAAGTGTTTAACCCCTTCCTAGCGCTGCTGTGCGCTGCTGTTCGCTGCTGTACTGCGCGGTCTCCAGCGAGTGCTATTGATCCTAATAGTTAGGGGAGTGCAGCAGCTTATCCATTAAGGCTGAGTGAGCCTGTCCCCTGTCTCCACCTCAGCAGACGGAGTGGGATGGACAGATGACTGGCGGGGGGGGGGGGAGGAAGACAGAGGTGGGAGACTGGGAGGCAATGAGTGGAGAGGAGAGGGAAATAAGTAAGGGAAGAGGAAGGGTAATTGAGGAGGAGAGGAAGTAAGGACGTTTATTAGCATAGCGCCTTTCAAGAGCAGCACGTCAAAAAGTGCTTCACGATAAAACACAAAGCAACGGACATGAAATAGAGACTTTAGAAGAATAAAATCAAATAAAACATATAGATAAGGCTAACAGTATGGTGTCCACAGTGTCCACAGATCTTCCACCAGTCCAAAAGGAGAGAGTTCCAAGGTTTAGGAGACACAACCTCAAAGCAACAGTCTTTTAGTTTTAGGACTGGAACTGCCAACAAACACTGACGCTAGGACTTTAGAGACCTGCTGATGACTCAGTTATTGTGGACTAAGCAGGTCAGGGATATTTTGCTGAGGTTCAGCGCTTGAAGAGGACCGGCACTTCTATATTTGACTCTTTGGCGTACCGTGACTTTTTCTTGCCCACCTGCACTCCTCACAAGCTGCCGGTACTCTGTTTCTGCCTTCTCCATGTCAGAGTGAGAACGAGTGCGTTGTAACTTATCTCTTGTAAAATAATGTTTTGCCAGCGTTAGGCTGGAGGATATTATCTGCCATCCGCTTTTTATAAAGTTTATGTAAGCGGCACACTGCACTGCTCTCACACGGAGGTACCGCTGTCGTAGACTCATCTCTGTCAGCACTGCTGCTGTCGTTAGCGCTGTTCCCCGCTGTCAGCACCGTTAGCTTCTAGCTGTTTTGACTTTTTGAATGCGCAAATTAAAAATGTGCATAAAACAGATGGTTGGAAACACACCTTGTGTCAAAAGCTGCACCAAGAATGATCCTGCATCCACATGCATCAACACGTCATTTAGGACTGTGAGAAGAGTTGCTTTTGTTGAGTGCAACTGATGGAAATAAGCACTATTTTTTAATAAAAAATTGGATACTCGTTCTAATTGCAGAAAAGCACAATCAAGTCACCTAAAGTCCATTCATCTTCATGGAGGGCAATAATCAGGCAACGTAGACAGTCAGGCAGCAACATCCGGTTCTGCCTGAAGCCAATGCTTCATGTGTTAAAGCTGCATTCTCTCTAGTGTCCATCAGGGGGCGACTCCTCTGGTTGTATAGCAGTCTATGAGAAAATGACTCTACTTCTCTCTTGATTTATTACCTCAGTAAACATTGTAAACATGAGTTTATGGTCTCAATCTCTAGTTTCAAGTCTTCTTCAACACGTCTCTATGTCAACCCTCCGCATTCACTTCTGTTCATTGGTTGCAAAAAAACACAATGGCGACAGCCGTAATCCAAAGATGGCGACGGCGAAAACGCCAAACTCAAGGCTTCATAACGAGAGTCCACAAACCAAACGAAGAGGTATTATTAACACAATGTACTGAAATGTACTTGGTGGAGCTTACCATTCTAATATGATGCTGGATAGTTTAATGAATAATTTGAATTGTTATATTCCGCGAGTCAGATCTGAATCTGTCACGTAACCAGAAACATTTCTCTGTCAGGTAAACGTAGTACTCCAATGTCTTCCTCTGCAGTAGAAGTACACAGTAAGTAGTATACAGTTGAGTTGCATATTGTTTAAGAGCTTTGGGGCCTTTAATAGTTATTTCAGTGTACAATGACTTAGAATAGTAACATAATTCAATATCATTCATATCTAAACATCATAATACATCTATAGCTGTTTGGGGCTCTTTGGGGGTACCAGGTCCAGGAGGTCTACCTTGTCCACAGTAAAGTCTGCCCCTGGTGGTTCCTGCTGAACTAGACTGTAGTTCACTGGTGTTCCTGACCGTGAGGAGCCGTGACTTGAGTGTATGACGTTACCACTGTGTGTCATACAGGTGTGTTTCTAAGGTGTTCACTTTGTATGAGCGGTTCTCCAGAAAGCTGCCAGCAGCAACACCACAGGCCAAAAAGTACCTCTTTCATTCTATTCCTTTTTCTTTTAATATGTCTCAAGTTTCACATATGCAACTCCTGTGTAAACACCTGTCTGATTCCAGTGGCTGAAAAGGAAATATCTCAAATTCGTCCCTGTTTTGACACACACACACGGCTTCATCTCCCACATCTCCAAACGAGATTAATGCCGTTTCTTTAAGCATCAACATACGTAGAGGAGAGAGAAAGAAGCATGAGAACGAGTAGAGAACGATGCTCATGGAGAGAAAACAAAGAAAAAAAGGATTGGAAGAGATGCAGGGCGTAAGGCAAATGAGAGGCAGGAGGAGAGAGAGAGAGAACGAGAGAGAGAGAGAGAGAGAGAGAGAGAGAGAGGCGAGATGGAAAGCTGTGTTGTCAGCGAGGAAACGAAGGCTGTTGCTCAAAGACTGATCGCGTCGGCGTTCGTAACCTTGAGCCGTTGCATCAATTTATACCTGAATTTATGAGGCCGGGTTGGATACAAAGAATTAAAGGAGGGAGAGGACGATAGGGAGAGACACACTCATTACTCTGTGCTGAAGAAACACTGGCAGCCAGAGGTCACTAAATCCTGCCTGCCTCACGTCTTTCCTCTCATCCAACGGAGAAAGGCGAGGGCAATACTCTAAACTACAGACTGTCAGCAGAAGAGGGGGAACAGGAGCACATCACAAAATGGAATAGTGCGATACTGACATTCCAGGTCTGGAGAGGAGAGCGTGTTCTCTAATTAAAAACCACCCAAAGGGGCTATCTCCTGCTCTGAAACCAGTCAGATGGAGGTTTTAACGAACTCGCAGAGAAAGAGCTGATCTGGGAATAGACTAGAGAGCTAATGAGCTTAGCCACTGTACAATCATACTGTATTTTTTTTTGGGGGGGGGGATACACAGATGCAAGGTGTGTTAGCATCTGAGTTCTTGTGAGTAACATTATCAATCAAAAAAGTGATGACTTCATCATCATCATCCTCATGTTTGCATGCTGCTCCTGTAATCAGTGTGAGGTTATGACAAAAGTAAAAACAGCCATCAGTACCGTGAACCTGAGCAACAATGATGCTTTCATTCAAATAAACAGCTTACATTCTGAGCTGACTTTGTGTAGCTTTATGCTAACAAACACGTCCAGGAGATTGTGTACAAGCTGCTCCATGAAGAGAAATCCTTACACTCAACTAGAGTTCACACAATCCCATGTTCCAGACGTGTATTATATGACATAATAATGGATTTGTTGATTCATGATCACGAGCGAGCAAATTCTGAAAGTTTGACCGTCTAGGATTTAAAGTGACACTATTCATCCTTTTAGAAAAAGCATGGCATTGTTTTTCTTCTCTTCTTCTTCTCTTTTATACTGTAAATTTAGTTTTTCTTTATTTACTGAATTCCTCATAGTATTATTGCTTTCTCTTTGTTTTATCTTATTTCTTATTATCATTATTGTTGTTTTTTTACTACATTTTTTTGTTCTACTTCATAATTATTATCACTATTACTATATCTATCTCTCTCTATGCATACACATATTGACCTTTATAAAAAACAAAACTGTGAAGAAAAAATAAAGTGAGCCTATGCAACTGTTGTTGAGCCCAGTTGCCATTACGAGATAGCGGCACATTGCATTTCTCTTCATTTCCCACAATTCTCTTGAGTCAGTTGCTTTAAAGACATCATCATTAAGTGACCTAATGAAGCTCCATCAGTGGAACGGGATCACGATCAGAACTCATACTTCCTGCTAAACATGCCTCCTCAGCATGTTTACTACTTGTCTTATTTTAATAATAAATCTCTTAGAGGCTGTACTGAATATTTACATTCAAAGCGCCGTTTTTGAATGACGTTTTGAATGTCTGTCGTCAGATTTCATGAAATCATCACCCAAAAAAAACGGCATGAAGGAAGTTTGAAACTATTCAGTACAGCCCTATCTAAGACACGAGAACACATGTTAGCTAACGTTAGCCAGTGAAGCTACTGGTCACACCACACAAGCAAAACGTCTCAGCGTATTGAACTCACAAAGTGTGCACTTTATCACTTATGAATTCTACTTTTCATTTGTAAAAGGAGGACCTATGTTATTTCAAATGATGAAGTCTTGCTTTGACCACTACACCACATAGCACATTCACATCCATCCTGTAATTAAAGCAGTAACATTCTTTTTTTTTTTCTCCAAAAGAGGATGTCAAAACCAATTTCAGACCAGTGTTTTGGGAGCGACACCCACATTAGCATAAGCTACCATCCTCAGTGGGGTTTTGAGTGAAAGTGCAGCACAACAGGAACGACGGTGTCGCTGGAGAGCTTGACACTGAGTCAGATGGCCGATTAGTCTGAGTAGACAGCATGCGTACGGGTGTGTTGCCGTGTCTCTGTGTACAGTATGTGACACTCACTCCACTGGGGGGTTGACGTCCTCGGCCTTTGTCTCAAAGAAGTGCAGCACCTCCTCACTCTGAGAGATCTGAGGGGGGAGTCGCACCAGCGCCTAAGAAGAGAGAGAACGGGGAGGTTAAAGACCAGCTCATTGATTAGTCCTGTTGTTGTTGTTTTCATTGACCTATCTTCATCTCCCCCAGTGACTGTTTGACCTGGCTGTCCACATCCTTTTTTTGTTTTGACTGAGATCCTTCCTCTGAACGTGATAACGTATCAGTAATGTATCTCTTATACAGCGCTTTTAAAGGGCATCATACAGGCTTCTTTGGAAAAGAATAGTGTCTGGGTGTGCAGGGGGAGTACTTGGTTAATCAAGCATCCTTCCTACTCTGTGTGTTCATTGACAGAGCCACACGGCAGTCAGAGAGAGGATCATATGTCTGACTAGCCATCTATATTTAATGATCTGGACAGCTCCAACCAAAGGAGGAGCTCATGTACAGTAGCGGGGTGCAGGGTGCATACGACATGCGAGGGCATATGTTCAGCGTGGGCTTTTCATTGACAGCGGCCTGCATGTTTCATTCATGGGATCCGATCTATGGGGATATTGAAAGAGCCTCGTGGTTGAGATTGAAGAGGGCCGTATCTCACTGTGCACCACAGCTGGCTGGACTCAGCACCCTGCCATCTCCAAAGAGCAGACCCTCTGAGAACCCTGGGTAATTACTCTTCCTCTCCGCTGTTTGCCTCATAAACAGGATGTAGGAAGTAAACGGCATGGAAACGCTGCGGTACCGGGCAAAAGAAGCGGCTCGCTACGGCTTCTGTAAACATTAGAGCGCTGCGGGTTATTTGGGTAATGAGGAAGCCTTTTTGCCTGAGCTGAGAGAAGGAGCATGGTCATTGTCAGTCATTTTTGTGCGTATCTTTTTGTTTTTAAACTCTTTTTGGTCCTGATTATTGAGTGGATACTGTAGCTAACCCTTCCTAATGAAGGCCAACTAATTGCTCCCTATTGTGTGCGTAGAGACAATCACAAATTAGATGTGGGAGGGGGGGGAGATAAATAAAAAAAATCGGAATCCTGCAAAATAAAAATAGAAAAACTAATGAGAGAGAGAACAGGGAGTGCTAAGGCGAGTCTCCCTCCAACTGAATGCGACTTCTGTGATCAGATGAGGTGGATCGAAACTCAGCTGTGTCCTCATGTGTGTCCACACTGAACACTTCAGTGCGACCTGCCTGATCGGATAGTGATCGGATATAGTTCATGGTCAAAGGAACGGCTGTAAAACGGTGGACCAACATGTCATTTCCTATAAATGCTTCACAATAAAAGTCCTGCGCTATTTTTGCTGCTTTCTCTTCCTCCCTGCAGAATTAGTAGACTTTTTTTTATTGAAGAATAGCCGCTAACAAAGCTCCGCTAACTCAGTGTTAAACACATGTTCCTATAAATTCTTCACAATTAAAGTCCTCCATTATTATGTTATTTAAAAGCTTTTATTTTGGAGCAGCAAAATCATGAAATGTTGTGTTTTCATCACCAGTAGGATAACAGGACTCAGACAGCAGGTCTACGCTGGCTCCAGTCTGGTGTCCTCCTCTCTTCTCTTTGCTCTCCTCTAGAGAGGAACTCCTGTGTGGGAGGAAGATGATGGAGACCTACGTCTGATAAATTGTCCATTGTCTCCACATGCTGTCCACACCTCACTGAGATCTGAACTCAATGCGAGCCAGTCAACCTCAGCATGTGGTCTGTTACATTGAAAAAGACAAGTGGAACCACAGCTTCTGTAACAATGGAAGAGCTAGAGTCTGCCTTGTGTAGTGCATTGACGGAGAAGTTTGGGGCACACATAGGTCGCCCTTCTTCTCTGATTGTGGCACACATGGAAATGAACAAACCCTTTAACTGTAGAAGGAAGAGATCCCATCGTTCCCCCACCAAGCCTAGTGTCAGAGTGTCAGAGCTCATTACAGGCTCCTGAGATTGCTCAGATACACAGCTCTTCACTGCCAGGACACTTTTCCACGTCCCCTACTGTGGCTACAGTCTCATGTGTGCCATGTTTAAAGTATGTGAAATGGACCTTTGACCCCTCACAGGGGAGGGGGGGGGGGGGGGGGGGGGGGGGGGGGGGGGGGGGGGGG